CTTCCATTTAGCACGGCGGGGGGATCCGGCTAGGGTGCATTCTTTGTCCATACCGATGGTCGTTGGCTCTCCCTCGGGCAGGAAGTACACCAAGCATCCTCGGCTCTCGGCGGTGTGAGTTCGGCTCCAAGAGGTCTTCAGCTTTGACGCAAAGCTCCACGACACGACAGGGAACCGAGCGGCCAGTCAATGAGGCATCATCCGACAGATTCACCAGCTGGGGAACGTTTCGATCCTGGGCGCAATGAAACTGGCAAATGGGCCTTGCCGGTACCAACTTCAGTAGACAGTAGTGCATCCACTCACCTTGACACTTACTTCGGAGAATCTCGGAGACGAAGGGGCGTGGAGGCTTGAAGGCTTTTGGCTATTGCTTGCGCTTCGCTTGGCTTTGGCGCCACGTCTCCATTCCGAGAGCCCCCGAGATCTCCGCCAGGCTCAGGCCCATGTCGCACAATGCCTCCGTAGAAAAATTACCGCCAAAGCAGGACCAACCCGCAAAACGCAAGCGCGACCATGCGCAACCATGCACCATCATGCACCCTGCTCTGCGAGACATGCGAGATGCTGGGCATCTCAGCTCGTCCTTCCATCCTCTCGAGTCGACTAGAACTGAATTAGAGCAGACGGCGCCTGCTTGCGCAAGGCTTCCATCTCTCTTGCCTCGGCGATCTGGGCCTGATAATCCTGCTGGCCAAGTCGGTTGAGATTCGCTCGAAAAGCCGTGGTTTACAGTTTGACGTGTTTAAAGTTGCGCAGGCCCATGCAGACTTGTCGGAATCAGGATTTGTTTAGCCGCCTGAAACCGCTGCATCCTGTGCCTAATTTACGTGATTCCACTGCCTGGGGCCTATTTGCGCAAGAGCAGCAACAAATCAGCAACAAGTCTGTGATGTTAAAGGAAGGCCCGAGTACCCGCTCAGTCCACATGACGTCTCTTCACGCCTTCTCCATCTGGGCCAGCAGCTGCTCCGTGTCATGGAGCTGTTGCTGGAGACGACCTTGAGATCTTTTCGAAATTTGCGTTTAGCTTCAGCACACATATCAGCCATCCACCCCTTGTCATTCGCCAGAGTCTAGAGAAATGTGCTTATATCAGACGGAAGGCCCTGTCGCTTCTGCCGGGCGAATGTGTCAGTGGGGCGCTGCTTGTTTGTATGTTGCCGGCCCGTTCGTTCACAGGCCCCCGAGCCGTCACTGTCAGAGAGTGCTGGGCACTCGCATATCTAAGGACAAGCAAACTTCGCCCTCGAATTTCGACTGCCTCTTGGGCTGTTCATAATGTGCAAGCATGGGACAGACATGCAAGCATACTCTCCGAGTCCGGGGCTATCGTTTTGCGCTGCAAGCTGTTCTTTCAGCCTCCCGTACATCTGGGAGGAGAACGGTGCTTCCGGTTCAAGCATGCTGGATGTGCAAAAAAGCACCGCGGGATAACTTCTTGATTCTTGTACCAACTGCTGGAGCAACTGGGGCTCACGCCCTTGAACGAAGGTCAACTAGTTGTGTCGGAACGGCCCGGCGATGCTGCTGCGCAGGCTGGCAAACTGTTTAACAGCCATCTGGCGGGCAGGATCGTTTCACTTAGCATCCCATGTCACCCAATTTCTCTGCTAAGCTTTAAGCGGCCAGTGAAACTCGAACACCCAACTTAGTGCTCCATGGGTCCATGAGGTGTTTTTGTGTTGTTGTAGGTATCGCCAGAAAGAGATGAGCACCCTGTGCACATGGTCTCAGTTCTTTGCGTACGCGAATTGCCACTCAGAGCTGTCCACTCTCAACTGCCTCGCGATCTCGGCAGTCAGCTCCTCGGCTATGCTGGCCGAAGTCTCCTGAAAGGGAAGCCCAGTGCCAGTGTCGGGAAACAGATGCCTTCGCCTTCGCTCATTGGGACACGGAGTTGAATCATGGGTCTTGGGGTCGCAGGACATCGCGGCTGGCCTGATTCCTGACTGCCTTCGTCGCCACATTTTTGCACGTCTGCGCCTTGGCTTCAGCAGTGTCAAAATTTGGTGCATGGATGCTAGAACCGGCAAAGCTGTGCGGTAAACAATTCAAACCCTCCTGTCTCAAGCAAAAACCCTTGGATGGCACACATGCTGCAGGCATGCATTCTGAGGACCCCACAAACTTCAATGTGCTAAGCGTCTCGTCGAGGTTGGAAAGTGCTGGCGACAGTGCAGCGATCATCACCGTCTTGGAGTTGCCGCTCAGCGACTCTTGCCTGAGACCCCGCAACTTCGAGGACCGGCACGGAGCCGGGGTTGAGAAGAGGCAGGGCCCACGGAGTTCGTGTCAGCTGAATTATTCGTTGTCAAGTCGGGTTAGATGTTGTGTCATTTCTGTCGGAGTTGTCATGCCGTGGCCCAGAGCCAACGGCAGTCGACACAGATCCTCCCTCTAAACTTTGCTGCAAACTTCCCGCGTCCTGTACGCGACCTTTGGACCTCAGGCTGTCAGGAATGCTTCGAACCGTGGAGAAGCCGAGATGCAGAATGTGTGTAAGTTTGGAGTTGCGGAACGGGACAAAGTCGCTCTTGCCGTCTTCGCGTGCAGAGGCCGCTAGCTTGTTGATGACCAAAGCCAGGTTTGAAAGAGACCTCAAACGCCATGCGATCGCTGGGCCAGGGCCCTGAGATCCCATCACATGGCTCGAGCTCTGCGCAGGGAATCTAAATGCAAGCGAGAATCTGGTTGATCATGGCACCTTCCTTTAGCAGGCTCCCGCTGGCTCCAGTTTTCTTTTGTCGCTCAGAACCTGCTCCAGAGCGTGAGCGGTGACGCTCCACTTTCAAAGACGGAAGCATGTTGTCACGCAGATGGTCCACTGGTGGCGAATGAAACTAGTACGGCGTCCCATCCTGCCTGCAAGATCTACAAGATTGACACCTCAAGTTTCAGTTCGAAGTGCGTGTATAGCTCGGAAAGTGGAGTCAACTCAACAACTCGTTTCATGCCACGCAGCTCGCTCTTTGCTCCGAGTCCACCCCATCTGCAGACTCGCGTTTCAGCAGCACGAAGTTGAAGATGCAGTGAGACCGCGAGGAGGCAGAGTTCCTTTGGAAAACGTCTTCCAGGCTTTGCTGTGATTGGCAACTTTTCCCCTGTCTCGACATGGGACGACGACACGGCTCTGCCTCGCTGCAAAAGTCCGCGACGATCTAAGACTGCAACCGGGCGTCATCTGGGTCGCTGCAACCTGACGGAGTGTCTAGGTCGTTTGTTGCCAAACGTTGCACGTTTGCAGGCCACTGGTGACTTCCCGGACGGCCTAATGACAAGCCCAAGAGCCGCCAAAAGATGTTCAAGCGTGGCTGTCCAGTCGGTGTGAAAGCTGAGCTTCACGGCTTCCCTATCGATTCCCCTGACATGGCATTTTTCTCACGGCAGCTTGTGGCACATCAGAGTGCTTCACTTCGCAGCAAAGTTCCATCCGAATATGCCCCAAGAAATTGCAGCTAAAGAAACGCTGCGCGACTTGGCGCCAAAGTCGAGGATACTTTGCACCTCTTCATATGTCGTGACCTGGGCGAGGGGCAGGCTCAAGGATCGAACGAAAGACCCCGCATATCTTTGACTCTAAGCCTGAAGCAACGGCAGCATTGCGGCAGCTAACGAGGCACCGCTGAGGACTCCAAAGGTCGCTCGCTGAATTTCCAGCCCTTAAATGGCTCTCGATGCGAAGTTCCACCGGGCCTGTGCCGGTGAGCGGAGGCCAAAGGCTCAAAACTTGCAAAGGCTTTCCTCCCGGGCCTATGCCGGGCTGCGGGCCAGGGTCCCGGCTCAAAGAAAAATATCGCTGGTGCAGTCGCCCCCGGGGAGGCGCATCTCATGGCACAGAACGGGACCATCTGGCTCGTTCCCGAAGTCCACCAGGAAGTTTGGGTTCAGCGTCAGCCCGCCTTTCTCGGTGTCCACGTCAAGCTGGATGACTTGCGCGCCGCGAGCGGCCATTTCCGGGTAGAACTGCTTGTCCCAAGATGAAAAGAGGGACGTGGACACGTAGAGGCGCTTGCCATCCTAGGTGCAATCATGTGCAGTGTGAATCCAAACCTCCGAGACCTCCCCGAATCCGAAGCTGAAAAAACGCTCAAAAAGCAAAACTGCTCTCTATCGAGCGCGAGTCCAGGGAGAGCTGGACCATCTGGGCCCCACCTGTCCGAAAGCCGGAGACTTGACTAGTGGGTCCGGCTAGGTCTAGGAGTCTAGGCCCGTCGATTCAACCAATGGGTTTCTCAGATTTCGGGAGCCCAGCGCCTTGCACCTCCACACCTTTCACGACCAGCGGCTCGGGCTCAGACTCGCCGTCCTTGCGAGTGACGGAGCCTCCCCGCTTCATGGAGCCACCGACGAAGAATTGGCCGACGAGCTTCGGCTCCTCACCGGTGATGTCGTACTGGCGGACGTCGCCGTGGAGCCAGTTGGAGAAGAAAATGAAGCGGTCGTCCATGGAGATCAGGAAGTCTGTGATGAGGCCTGGCATCTCCGGCAAGGCCCAGCCTTCCACTGGGATGGGATCCACCTTGATTACCGTCTTGGCCTCCCAGTGACCCTCCTCGGTTTTCCTGAATCGCACCATCTCGGAGCTGAGAGCACAGCCCGTGTAGCCCTCTGCTTTGTCGGGGTCATGGAGGAAGCGAACCTCCAGAGGAATGGAGCCGGCTCCCACATCCAACTCCTGCTTCAGGGTGCGGTCGGTCCAATCCCAGACATAGAGTTTGCTGCCGTAGCGTCCTTCCGCGACGTGGGCAGGATTGAAGCCTTTCGTGAAGCATCCTGGGTCCCCCCACTCCGAGGAGACCATCACATTATGTCGCGGCTGGTACCAGAAGTCGTATCCGAAGCGTGTCGGGTTCTCTGGAGCTTCCCAGCGCTGCTTGATCTCAAAGGTCTTGGGGTCGAAGCACACAAAGCCTGCACCACTAGGCTCGAACCCCTGCTTCGCGGTACCACTGCCCATGAATGACATGATGATCTCGTCCGGCGCGCAATGTGCGGTGTGCGGCAGCGCAGCACCCGTCTTGGCCAAAATCTCAGCCCCTGGGATGGTTTTGTGAAGCTTGGGTGCACGCGGGTCCGACCGCACATCGATGATGTGAATGTTGCCAGACAGCACACCGGGAGCAATGATGAAGGAGTGCGTGGGCCGTCCCACCTGCCCGCGGCAACTAGAGCAGGCATTCCAGCCGAGGTGATGTAATTCGTCGCCTGGCTCTGCCATGTGCAGTCGGTGGATCACCTGGCAGTAGCTCGGGCTGTTTGGGTTCACATCTACCGTTGCCAAATAGTCTGGCTTTAGCCCCTTCTCCATCTGCACCGCAGGAATGTACAAGAGTTCCTCCACCACACCCGCATTCTTGGCCTCCAAGGGCGACCCGAACCCCATTCCCTTGCAGCAAGTGCCAACTTTCGTCTGGTCGCTCGCTGACTCTTTTCGTCGCTCCAACAATGTGGGAGCAAAGTGCGACTCGGTGATGCTCTCGCCGCCGGAAGCCATCCTAACCGTGGCGACCGTGAGGAAAATAAATTGAGAGCTTAAAATGACTTGAGACTGTATGGCTGATCGCACGACAAACTGCATCACATGGTTGCAGCGGAATCTTGCCCGGCAGCCGGAGTTCCTTGCTCATGGACTCTGGACGCAGTATCCTAGAGTTGGGATGAGTTGGGTGCTGCAGACGCACCTGGATCCTGCACAATGGAAGGCTAATAAGCTCAAGTCAATGCACTCCGGCCCAGAAAACGCAGATGGTGGTTCCAGTTCCGACTTTGGTTGCAATTCGCTACCTGGACGGCAGCCCAGCTCACCTACCTCATCCTGCAAGCAGAAAGCCTCTCGCCCGAGTTCTGCAGCCCCTCATCACTTCGGCATTGCAGCAGCCAGTGCTTCAATTTCAGTCTTCTGCATTACAGGGTCTTGCATGTCTACATCCCTACGTTGCAAACTCCACTTCCCTAAGCCTCCTGACTCCTTCGATCAGAATCATTAGCACTAGTAGGGTCCACCCACGGCAAATTATGTCAAACAGAAGCGCGTGCCATAGGCAAGCATCATGACGTCATAACCCTTCCAGCCTAGGGGCTGCGTTCGTCGTCAAGCCTCCAACATAGGTCCCCAACTTCGGATGGTTACGGACCTCAGGATGCGTCGCCTGCAACCTCACCCTGTGTAACAACACTCAAACCATAGACTCATAGGCTTAGATACGAGTACAGCCAAACAAGTGCGAATTCCTGACCTGGAGTGAATTTCAAGACCATGCCTAATAAACTTGGAAGATTGATCCGGCAGCACGGTGAACGGCGTCGCGACGGTCGTCCACGAGAACCCAGCGGTAATCTCTTTGGATGCCCGGAATTCAGTCCACTCTCGTCACCATCACGACAACCCTGCAGCTGTCGCATGGCGAAGGCCCAAGCTTCTTTCGAGTCGAACACGCTACAAGTAGTCTCGCACCAAGACACCCGTGAGTGCGATTCTACCGACATCCTCTGTTTACGTGTTGTGGGCCACTAGCTTTCTCATGCCAGCCGCGACGCCGTCAGCTTCGCCGGCTTGTCCGTCAAAGGTACGAGCAGATCACGGATCTGCTCCTCAAAGACGTCGGTGCGGTTTCAGACCGGCCATATCCAGAAGTTGTTGATTAGCTATTGGGTCGGCATGCTTGCGCTGCTGCTGTCCGTCTACATACACGAAAGGAAGGTGGATCAAGCTCTGCTCAGGCACCCTTTACTAAGATGCGGCTAAGCCGCATTGTAGATCTCAAGGTAGGACACCTGCATTCTTTACTGAGGGGCTCGCAGGTCCTTTGTGGAACTAGTACCATCGCCATTCCACGCCTGACACTGGAACTGGACCTTCGCATCCTTCCGGCCGCGCATGGTCTCGATGCGCCGGAAGAGCTCCAGAAGGATTCGCCTCCAAAAGCAAGCGCAAGCCCAATTTGAAGCCCTCTGCAACCAAGTGGAATCATGCGACTGCGCGTGGCGAGCCACACAATTAGAAGGGATAGCTTCATGAGCTGTACTTCTGTGTGTCATGGACACTCCCAGCTCATGGCCAGTGGCGGAAGGAGCCCTCGATTTTCGGGTTGATCGTCGGCACCTTGCCGGTTTGCACAGGTCTCTAAGGGTTTCTCACAGCTGCGGTGCGCCCAAATCCCAAGCGTCGAGGCACCGAGCACCGAGTGGGTCTTCCCCGAACCCGTCTGCCCATAGGCGAAGAGGCAGTTGTTGAAGCCGTCCATGGCGTTGTCCAGAATCGCTTCACCTCGGGCCGTTCAATGGTGACCCGCGCAGCGCTCTTTTAGGGACGTGTATCTTCAGAGCTCGACTGCCAAACCATCGTTTGGCAGTCGAGAAGCCACCCATTGGGCATTGGGCGTGGTTCCATGCCGATCTTTCAAAATGTTCACACGAATCTTCCTCACTCCAATTTCTGCCAGATCTCGGATGAATCTCGCCATGGCCCATTATCATCATAACTTCAAATGCAAAGTTCTGAAGGATATCTTGCTTGCTGCTGTCAAGCCTGAAAGCCTTCCTTCGAAAGCACTGGAGCTTGAACGGCCCTCGTAAGGCCGCCGCCGAGCTCATCCTGACAGTGCAACGATTTGTGTGGTTCTTCGGTTTTCTTCTGATTTCAGTCTGGTGAGTCTGGTGGTTCACTCTTGCAAGACACGTCGGCATGGCACAATTGCACGAGACTGCGACTAGACGGCCGAGCGGAGGCGTGGCTGACGAGTAAGTGCAGGGCCATCAAAGTCTGCTGTGTGGCACCTTGGCAAAGGGCCACAATCCACTTAGTGCATCTCAGTGACAGGACAAGACATGAGGCATGTAACTGTCTTGTCAAGACAAGAGGGCTTCGAAAGTGTTGTGGCCGAGGCACAGCTTGGATGGCTATCGTCGCAGGACCAGTAAGCGCGGTCCTCAGAACACACCAGAAACGACGGTTGAGATGATACGATTATACAGTAGTTCTAGTCCATTGCTCTCGCCATTGCAACACCTGCCTTGATTCCAACCCGTCAAGGCTACGTAAGATTCAAACAAAGGTTCGGGTAATGGAAGGCTGTGCGGAATCCAATCACTGCTCCAGACCTCTCTGGCTGACCATGAAATTGTTTCGAAGCTGTATAAGCCAAGGTTCGTAGTCAAACACGCGCATGGACGACATGTGCTCCTGGCCTGTCATCAACAACACCACAGCTGCCCCACAGCGCAATTTCGCCAAATACTCAGCCCGGTGCAGTCATCCAAAGTGACTTGCGAATCGCTAGGCATCTGGACCTTTAACCAGCCATGTAGCCAGCGGAAGATGCATTTGCTGCTGGGACTTCAAGCTCTGTTTGGAATCTTGGGAGCATACGCAGCATCTCTCTCCATGCTCGCGCTCCACGAATGGTCTCACCCGGACGCCTACCAGCAAAATGGCTGTCCAAAAATCTGTCATAACATTGCATGGTCGAAGGAGTTGCATCAAGGGAGGTTGAACATGCCGAGATTTGGCCACTCGCAGAAGGTTTGCATGGGAAGGTCTGCTTGAGCAAAGACTGACCAAGGTGACTAAGGCAGGCTTCTGATGCAAGAAAATCTTAGTCTAAAATTAATTGACGAGCGAAACCCAGAAATGCTTCACCATGGCACAGACTTTGATGTTGCCGGAAGCGGTGCTTGCATGGCAGATGGTTTTCCTCTTCGACATGGCGCCAAGAGCTCAAGCCGCATTTACAACATTTAACAACGCTTTGGGCTTGGGGCTACAGGGTTGGGGTATGTGGGGCACAGGATCCCTCTTTAGTTCTATCATCGCCAGGTACACAATGCTAGGCCCCGAGGCCAAGGGTTCAGTTCCGGCTCCCGGTTGACCTTAACCATGACCCCCCTGCAAGGCAGAAATGAGCTGCGGCATCGGCCGAGAAGCGCAGCTGAAACGGGCCATCTCTATGCTGTTGCGTTGCACCCTCGAGTCGTACTTCTCGCAGCACAGTAGCATACAGTAGCCAAAGCAGGAACCTTCTCTGCCTTGCCACTTGCCTCCCATGCGTGCAAGCTTGCGAGGGGCGGAAACTGAGGTAGCGGGAGCTTCTCAACCTGGGCTCCAAGGAATGGCCTGCGACAGCCAGGATCGGGGCACATACCTGTCAGCGGTGCGCGCTTTCCAGCGACAGTCTTCCGTTCATCCCAAGCTGCCATGGACAGCACTTCAAGTGGCAGGGGATTGCGCAGGATGGTTCCCTGAAGCCTGGGGCCCTCCGAGCTTAGGGTTCTGGCCTCACGATGTGTGCACGCATTTGCACGTGTAATTACAAGAGTACGACAGCGATGCAGAAGAGCAATCTGCAACTGCCATGCCAACATGCTAGCACAGCGAATTCAACAAGCCAGCAGCCAGCTTGCATCGATTTTAAAGTCTTGCTGTCAGAGCAGGGCGAGGCGGCTTCGAATACAACGACCAAGAGACAGGAGGGCACATGCTTCCCCAGCTGTTGCTTGAAGAGCTCCCCTCGACCCCTCGTGGGTCATCCCCAGTATACGATAAGACTGGGCAAATGCAAGTGCAAAGCCTGGCAAGAAACAGCTGGGGCCTCGCATCAATCTTTGTACAACTGAGGGAAATGCACTGTCACAACTTGTACACAACTATTCACAACTGCTACAGTGAGTCCTACTGCCATCCCACACAAGCTGATGCTGACTCAATTCACTGAATGCTGAGCACACCACCAACACGTGTTGATAAGGACTCTGCAAACCCTTTCGGCATTGCTTTGTGACGGATGGCACTACATACATGATAAGAAGCTTACAGCACCAAGTTCACACATCTGCCGGAGAGCGCTAATCACAAACGCCACACCTCTGGCCAACAGACATCTGGCTATGAAGTCGTTGTCGGTGCATGTTTGAAGTCGACGGGTTACTGGGTTACGACAGCTGCAGCATTCGCAGCCGGCAACCGAGGCAAGCAAAGCAGTTGGTGAGCTTGCTCGACACGAGTGCCGCGGCTGTGCAGTGAGCATCTGCTTCGTCACATCAGCCCTGCCACAGGCGGTGAGAGCTCTCCGCCCTGATTCGTGATCCTCGTCATTACTTATGTGCAACATACCATCTTCTTTGTGCTCCCCTGCGCGCGCCCGCCGTGCCATTTGCTCGTTTTCGCAGGAATTGCTACATGGTTGGGGAAGTGCGTGACGACCTGGAAGTGCTGACCCCGGTTTTTGCTCATGCTTCGAGTTCGGACACACTACAGCTCGCCCACAAAAACCTGCCAGAACCTGTGATCGAAATCCGTTAATGCAGAACAAGTCTCCTGATGGCATCGCGCACCAGGAGGGAGCCGGCGCCGCACTCCGCTGGAACACACAAACCTTGGAGTCATTGTATGCCGTCCCGCAAGCCACAAGCAAGATCGGCTCGCAAAACAGCGGCTCCGAATCATGGTGAAGGTCACAAGATCTTTGGAAGATTTTCATCCAGCGCAATCTGAGCCACACTCAGGACAAGATCACTCAGTGAAGTCACGAATTCTTGGTTCCTCCTAGAGACTGTAACCAGCGCTGCAGACGGCAGGATCATAGTACCAAAACGTCGGTCCTGCTGTCATCATGAAGAGCCAGTAACCGGAGCTAGGTCTGGGAATTTCGGGCGATTCGCATGAAGCCATCTCGTGCAGAGATGTCGGACGTCTGCACAAACGACATAGTGCCTTCCATCCACGTCGCGCCGCCATCGAAGGACAGGCTGAGTGTCACAGGTCTCAGAGGCAGGTTGGCAAGATTTGAACAATTGGCTTCGATCCCGATTGAGCACCATCCTAAGATGAATTCAGTCAAATCACCCGGCCGGGTGCGCAGGCGCAACGCATCTGAGCCTGGGCCATGTGCATCCACGTGCAAAAGGCGTGCATGCCCCAAGTACCATGCAATTTCCATGCTGGCAGATCAAGGCATTTCGCGGGCTCGAGCAAGGGAGCCGGTGGGGTTACCACTCTTGTGAAGTCGATTGCCTTGTCTCTTTTTCGTGGTTCGGGCTGTTCTTGCATCGTCTGTGCGTGACGAAGCCGACTTGCGTGTACTATCTGAACCGATACAACCATGCGAATGAGTGCTGCAGTCCCTCCGCTGCGAGTTTGGACTTGTAAATCATGTCTGTCAAATATGCAAATCAACGCAACTGTTACCAGAAAGGAATACACTGCGCCAAAACAAACTCGAAGACAGCACTCGTGCCTGTTTTGCAACAAATGGTTTAGAAAGCCGTGAAATGTGTGAACAAGGGCCAACTCCGATGCTAAGGCTGCGTGCAGCCGCCTGACGCGTGTAGATGTGCAAAACAGCACTGTTGCAATATGAATTGTCATGTGTCACCATTTAAGATCATTTGCATGGAAACAAGCGAAGCGAGGCCAGGGAGCTGTGACACTCCTTCGCTGCCATCCGCCTCGATGCTGGCGCCGGTCACCTGGGGGCGGAGAGCCGGCGGAGCCGAGCAGCGGGAGTGACGACCATCCGACTGCCCTAAGCAAGGACCAGCTGAACTAATTGGGTCGCCAGAAAAGCACTTGAATCGCCCTGCTTGCGCGCAGAGGCTTTCGGTCAAGACTCCACACGACCGAAACGGCAGGCTGCTCGATCTGTGTCAGGAAAGTGCTCCTTGTGCCGAGATGAACTGCAAGGGGGTTTGATCAGATTTGGAACGCCTTGGTCTGAAGAGCTATCGGTTCGATCTCTCTCGGAGTGGTACAGTAAGGCGCACGGCAACGCTTGAATCTGCCCGAAGTCCTTTCACTCAACCCCCAAGCTCAATGAAGCGAAATTCTACGAGGCAAAGTAGACAAGAGTGAGCCCTTGCCACATCCATATGTGCATATGTTCTGCAATGGCATTGGCCCAGCGGCACCCAAGATATGGACAATCCGGCCGCCGTCAACGCTGCAATGCTTGGGAAAGCAGGTCAGTTGCTGCTGCCCCTCCAGCTCCACAATCAACCTGGATTGCGCAAGTTCTGAAGAGTCTCGGGTCCTGGCTTTGTTTATTCCTCGTCGAGCCTGCGATCCGCAGTCAACCTTGCCTGCGGCGCTGCCGAATACCCTCGCCCGACCCTTATGTCTGTTGTAGCCACACTGTGATGCAAATGGTTTCGAGACGATCACTTGGTGCAAACGAGCTGTGGGGGGAGGGGCAGGTCTTTGGTTGACAAGCCAAACTACGTTGCTTCAGCGAAAGTATTCGCTTCTCACTTGGGCTGCGACTTTTCTCTCACCAACCCGAGAGCCAGAGTAAGGTTTTTGGTCTGCGAACCGGGAACTTCGTGTCCAGCTCGCGACCTTCACGTTCTGTACGAACAGCGCGGCTCCCGGGCGGGAGTGGTGGGTTCTGCAAAACTCTTCGGGCCTTCACGAGCTTCGGCTGCTTACGAACTGAATTTAAAAGCGAACACACGAACTGTGTAAAGTGAACTAAAGTACAAAAGCGCACACTCCGCGGGCTTGTCACTCTTTGCACACGTGCAAAACAATACACATTGTGTAAACCAGATTAAAGCGAAACATAAACTGCACATTCACACGCATAGTGCAGGGTGCATGTCATACGCTGCCGTCGCCCCGCGACGGCAGCGTCGCCATGCTCGCCACATGCCGTTCTTCGCCCCGTTGCCGCGGGATCCCGCGGGGCCCCGAGAGGTGTCACCGCATCTCAGCCGGGCCTGGTCCACACGGTCCCGTGGAAAAATGCTTCCCGCTAGAAGGGCTTCCCCGTCGGAAACGTTCGGAAGTGAACGCTGCCCGTGGCAAGAACCCAAAATCGCCGAGGGGTTTGGGGAAAACGAAGATAAACACTACATGTCATGTCAAACTTCCACGCAAACTCCGCCATCACGAGCATGCAAACATGTCACGTGTGCGCTGTACCATTACATGTGCGCCCTGCATTGTGGAAGGACGCTGTGACAATGCCATGCAACGAAGCCAAGCAGTGGACCATGGCGTCTTTCTTGATCCCAATCTCGCCTGGTTGCGTGTCTTGGGCTCTACAGCTTTAGTGCCAGTCAGATCGACCCTCGGAACTCGTCGGAGGCTCAGTGGAGTTACCCGGGCAGATTCTAGAGGCTCTGAGAGGCTCTGAGAGGCTCTGAGAGGCTCTGAGCGCTCCGAAAGCGCCCTGTAAGCTCCGGCCTGATGAGTTCAACAGCTCTCGAGGGAAAGCCATCTGCCGCCGAAATGCTCAGGGCTCTCTCGTCCACAGCGAGGATCTGGCCACTGAAGATTAGCTGGAGCGAGAACTTGCCGCTCCGCTTCTCCGTCGCAGAGCCTTCCTTGGCCAGCAAAGCACATCTGAGGAGGGCCTCATCTTTTGGGCCCACTGCTAAGAGCCTCGCCTCGGTAAGCCGACGTTCGATCAGCTCGCGGAGCTCAAGCCTGGGCCCGGCGGCATAGCCATAGCTGCCGCCGTAGCCATAGCATCACGACATGAGTGGAGACATGCAATGTGCACATAAGGAGCTCCCGAAAACTGCAAAAAGCCGCCTTAAGCCTCGATGCACGCTTGTGGTCTCCTCGACCCATATCCGCAGAATCCGCTCCTGCTTCGTCACTTTGGCAGGCTTTTCGCGGACGTTGACTCGCACCCACATGGCACATGTAGGCTCACGCTGCGTCCTATAAGCTGTGCTTCCGACTCGCCAGTCATGTCGCTTGCAGATTGCCAGACAATCATTTGCCCTCGTCGTGTCTGCTTGGGCCTAGCCATGCATGAGCCTCAAAGGTCATACGCAGCACCGGCCGTTCAACGTACAGCGGGAATGCATGCAGCAGCTGCAAGTGAGCGGAAGTAGGGCAGCCTGATTAGAACCTCGCGCTTCACAGGCATCACAGCGAGGCTCAGGGCTCACCAGGCACAGGCACCGCAGAGGCAGGCAACCCGGACCTGAATCGTACGACGAAACAGCGGCTTGCGGCAGCGAGAGAGAAAAGAGGAGAAGAGAGTGTTAGGGGAGAGAGAGCGAGGGAGAGCTTGAAAGATAAAGGAGTCTGCGACTAGGCCGTCGTTCTGCTTGCCACCGCTGTCTAGTTTGCACCGGTGCAGTTGCTAGAATAAAAGTACCCGGTGGGCGGGTGTCAATGGTGCCGCTATTTGGCTGAGGTCTTTCGGGATCCGGATCTTTCTTTAGTTTCAGGGTCGCTGGCTACCTTGGAGTCCAAAATTCAGCTCGTCCTGACTGAGCAACCAGCGGCACCCCGACACCGAGACCAGGCCGAATGACGGAGGTCTTCCTTCACGTATCAGCCAAGTTCAAACATCAACAAATCAACAACCTCCATGACTCCAAGCACGTGTCATGCGGTGGCAACTGTCAATACGCCTAGCTTGAAACACGGAGATCTGGTGCTGTAAGGTTGAATACACATCACACCTAGATGTGAAAGGTGTTGTGCGACAAGGCCTGCCACGAGGCCACAGCACGGACAATGTCTGGGCGAAGGGCTGCCACCTGAAGTCAGTTGCCGCAAAGGGCTTCATGACCCACTGTCAACAAGGACCGAGCTGACCATGGCAAGCGCTAACGACACCAAAGATTGCAGATGGCTACCACCACTTCTGCAGTACTGCGGGATCTTGCCCGAGCCGGGCACAAGGAGCTGTGAGCTCAGGTATGACAAAGCCGAATACACGGCCTCGAGCATACGGCTTCTTGCAGTTCTACCTCCTCGTTTGTTGAGGCTCACAAGCAAATCTTGCTGATCCATAGACTTGCAAGATCTTGCATGTCTCGCACTGCAATCCTGGATCTCATTTTTTGATTGAGAGACTGCCAAGCAAAATCGCAAGACATGGAAACTTGGACAAGTTCTCACTCGAACGGCATCTCCCCAACAATGCTCCGTGACATATTTGTACTGTCTTCCATGAAGGCCCTGAAGCAACACATCTCCTCACAAAGGGCCCTTGATTCCTGCTGTGGGTCGCAGGACCATGCTCTGTCCGAGAGGCCAGTCGGTACGTCTCTGACAGGAGCGCCAGTACTGCAGCTACGGCGAGTCCTCCAAACTTTGCTTCCTTGAACCCTGGAACGTAGGAAAACCAGCTCTGGGACGAACTTCATGTCGGAAATCATGCTCCACAAGCGCTCCTCCCCTGCGGCCCATGGCACGCTCACCTCATCGCCCGAGACATGGACGATGTGCTGACCCGATGCTTGGTAGCCCGGGCCTCCCATAGAGCCTCCCCGATCCGACACCTGAACGCAGAGGCTTGTGATTCTCTGCTCATGGCGACCAGGTGTTCGCGCTTTAGCTTTCAGCCACTCCGCCGGGCCTTCGTGTAGCCATCAACAAAAAGCACCAGACCTGCCAGTAGTTGGCCATGTCCAGATCCCCAATGCCGGCTGTGACGCGGAAGCTGCAAGGACTCGCAAAGCGAGAGGCAAGGAGGCTGCCAGTTCCAGGCAGAACTGCCCTGACGACCTCACACAGCAGGCAGCGGTATTTCTTCGGCAACTTCACAAAGCCTGACCGCAGTGAGACTTGATGATACTGTTGGCCGTAAGTGTGCATTGGAGATCCGCAGCTCCCCCCAATTTCTACCAGTCCTGTGGAGTCAGCTTCAGCATGACTTTGTTGCAACACAATCTGCCTCTTACTGCCTAAGTCGTAAACGATCTCTGCCTCCATCATGTGGTACTGATAAGGTTCGACGACCACAATATGAGTCTGTTAGTAGCGGACTACAGGTTGTGTCACGCCATGTCCCTCCGACTTTGAGCCATTGCTAAAAGCATCGTCCTGGACTCGGCCATACCCATTTAGCAGAGCTTTGCTTCTGCCACCCAGCGTGATTCCGAAGTCCTTTGAATATGCGCACCAGGTCCTGCTATTGTATTGTTCGGAGCAGGCCATGCACTCTGCAACGGGCCACCTAATCTCCTCCTCACGACGTCCGTCTTCGGAAACACGTGAAGGACCCCGCGTGCTATGGAGATGTTCTCGAATCGCTGATCGTGCGTCTTCACTGCGGCCTCATCAGTCAAGAACCTGCAGCTGCCAGCTGCAGCTAAGCAAGAGAGCTCAACTTGATCTAAATTTCTAGGCACTAGGCACCGGCACCTCCTGCTTGTTGACTGAACTAAGTATTGTTGTACTTTCGTCAACGAACACACTCAACATTCCTGCAAAGGCTAGCGATGTGGAGGCCAATGGAGTTTCCAGCAAATATGAGACTGTTTGATCACTCACAACATCTTTGTGGCATGTTGCCCCTGTGTTAATGAGCAGGTGTTAGAGACCTTTGTCTCTTCATTTGTCTCCAGGCGTGTCACAGCTTTCCGTTGCACATCCGATCATACTACAGCCAAAAGTGCTCTATCTATCGGAAACTTGGCGATCCAGCAGATTGTGCCGTCATGGTCGTGTCGACTCTGCCGACACCTTACAACCTACAGACCTTTCACAGTCGAACCGAAACCTCGAGCATCTTTATCTGAGCTCACCTGGGCTGTGCGGCACGATCGCAGGCCGAGGCGATCAAGGCGATCGGTTCCCAACAGCCTGGATTGGTGAGGGCAGATGTCTTTTTGTCATGCGGCACCTCCCACAAGAGTCCTCATACACGTCAGAAGTATTGTTCAACTTCGGCATCAGTACAGATGCAATTTCAAAGACCGGATCAAAGTGCGCGTCAGGACCCGAACCCATTCTGTTTGCCGCACCCAGTGACCCCGACCGAACCTCGAGCTTTCCGGGCCCTACAGTAGCATGGTTTCTCGCTGGGAAAGATTGCACGACTCGTCCAAATGCCTGCCATCGATACCACGACCCGAACACATGCAGTGAAAATCGTGAAGGGCAGCGCACCTCAAGGAGCCGGCGAAAAGCCGCGCGGATGCCTACGGCATTCGCTTCACTCTCCAAAGGCTGTCAACTGTGACTGCCTGTAATTACTCCGAAAAAGCCGAGTCGAATTCCCCACCGGCACTCAATCAGAAAACAAAGGTTGAGGAAGACTGATGGAACTGTACTGTTCACTTTGATGGAGCAAAGACAACGCCGCAAAAACAACGCAGACGAACTGCTGCAGGGCCTTGCCGTGTGGCACGGCTTCGTTGGCAAGCTTTAAAGGCCTAGGCCGACGGGCACGGCGTCCGCTGGAATGCAGAATTGCTTGCGAGAAGCTTTGTTCTATGCATGTTCGACGGATGTTGTGCCAAACTACGGCGGGAAGGCAAATTTCAGGTCCAGTGCTTGAGGCTCAGTCTGGTCCGTGGCAACTTCGTTCATGCATTGCTTCGTGATCTGTCAGGTAGCTCCTTACGCAAGCCATGTTCAGCCTCACACACTCGGCATGAGGACGGAGCATAGAGCTGGAGACCATGACTCTGATTTTTGACTTCCCAACCTGAGGTCAGGTGCTCCTGTACACTCACAAAAAAACGGGCTAGCTTCAGCAAGTGAACTTATCTCTTAGCCCAGGCTGCGCCTGAACGATCAGAGCCTTGCGCCGGAGCCCCCCGCGGGCAGCCACCTCACATCACAGATCAGGGTGCATCAGAGGTGACAAGCTGCTAACAATAACTTGCGTGGCACATACAACACGCCAGCACTTGGAGCGGCAACGTGGACGTGCTGGCATTTCCACCAGGTAACGCTACAGTATCAGTTGCGCCGCCTGCGACATGATTGCCTCATATTGCCTCTCAGGATATCTACTGGCTTTGCCATAGATTTCATATGATTTCAGCAAAGTTTACTGACGGGCTTCGGCCTTTCGGACCAACGCGGTTGCACACTGAGTCCTCAGGAACCGACCTTCTGCTTGAAGCGCTGAAAGCTGTAGCGTGCAGCTTGCACACTCAGAGTCGGACAGGGCAGCGGCCTTCAGGCACGAGGATTTCATACAGAGACATGCAGAGTCATACAGTTTTTTCTCCAGCCCTTCCACGGGCTTTGCACAGCCCGCCTGCTGACAGCTGCACTTGCACGGTTGCTGCACACCTGCCCAAGGACAAAGGCCTATTGGTTTCATTCCTTGGGGCGTCTCTTCCAGATTCTGAAACAAGTGGTGCATCAACTGCTGGCAGCTAGTCGCCGACACATCTCGGATTGCTTCGCGTTAGCGCAGCTGCTGCGGATAAAAAAACTGCCTGCGCCGGGAGTGGAAATGCCAAGGCACGAAGATACTCCTCCTCCTGCAACATGATGAATGCACTACAAGCTAGGGACGGGGCGAGGGTCATCAACAACATGCAAAGCCAGTGTGCGTGGTGCCAAACTATCTAGTTGAAGATGTTCAAGGAGCAAGGTCCTGCCGGGACAAGGACGTCGATTTCTGCGGGTTGGAATACGTGAAGAACACCTCGGCATTGAAACCAAGGCCAGGTTTGCAGGATTTTCGTGAGTGGTATGGCCATCCTTGTCCACTTGGAAAGCTTGCGGCTGCTTTAGACTATCACTGTATGCTTCAGCCATTGTTGCCAATCAGATAATCAGGTGCTTGATCTCTTGAGCCCATCCTCCGGATCACGGAGAAGCCGCAGGAGAGAGGAGAGATGAGATGAAGGGTTCCAACTGCAATAATCCAGATCACATCAGCCTTCGAAATGGATCACGCAGAGGCTGTTCACGTCGCTGGAGCTACGCCGGATGGACTAAGACTCAAACGAACTGCTTTAGCCAAGAAGTCAAGGGCAACCAACGGCCAACGAAGGTTCCACAGTCCACCAAGATGCGATTTTTGGCATCCGAAAACGGGGAAGCTGAGTGTTACCGTCGTGTTTCTGAACCGACAGTTTGCTCAAGGCACTTCAACTTGATTCACAGGCTCCATTCCTTGGAATACGCAACGGCTAAGCAAAGCAGGGCACGGGGCAGTCAGAATGCAAACATCGATGAAATGCAACAGGGCTAAGGTAAACTAACTCAACAAACAGGGAAACAGAGGGTGCACAAACTCTACAAAGAGTCTTCCGGCACGGAATGTATGTCCTATAAGTATGACCGAAAACCCTGCACAACCACCAGGGGCCCTTGAAAATAGCTCCGCCACTTACTCACTCAAAACTAATAGGTAATTTAATATAGCATCAGAGTTTGCGGGCAAGGATTTGACATAAAGGCTCCATGTTTCAGGCACAGACCAGAGTGTATCTGCGCCCACGAAAAGGCGTTACCTGACACCAGGCCAGGACAGATTGCCCAAGCGACTCCTGCGGGGCAAGAGCTCAGGTCGGCGCACAGTGTGGCTTGCGGCCATCGAATTTCAACCATTTTCGCCTGAGCAAATCCAGCGCTTTCTGAGTTGAAGCCCTACCCCAGCTTGTGGTGGGAACTGCACCTTACGTCGGTTGCGTGGCCCATTTCTCCATCGGTGTCCATCCAAAGCCATCCACCAGTGTAGTTGCCAAGGCCAAGACAATGACTCTGTTGGCGCTTGCCAGAATCATCATGAACATCGTGATCAGCAATCAAGCCATCACCATACCGACTGTCATCATCGGCCTCCTCCTCCTCATCCTCGTCACCCATCATGGCACTCGTCATATATTTCATCATTGTACTCGCCGCCGCGACACAACCGCCGACACCACCCTTGCATCAAAAACTGACGTCCGGATTCGGATCGATCTTCCACTTCGTGCCCGCATGATTTCATTGAAAACTCATCCCCTTCTTTCGTTCCAGGCACAGCAAAGTGTACAAGGTCCTGTTTCTGCCGAAGACTTCCCGTTTGATTTGATTTGATCTGAGGGCCCACTCCTTTTGGGACTTACGGGTCGCCGGCCGGTCCTGCAGTGTACTGTTAGTTGGCCGTTCCGAAAAGTCTCCCGGCTTTGGTTTCTGTTCTGGTTTAAAGGGCTGTCACTCCCTAAGGGCCGAAGTCCTTGCACTTTGGAGGGGTGTCAATTTCTTTACCTTTACCACTCTTCTCAAGATTTGCAAACAATCATGCCTCTGGTTGCAGCGACAAAACGCCGCTGACGCCGCCAACAACACAACAAACAACACACGACAAACAACAAACACCACACAACAAACACCAAACAACAATACAACACAAGCCACAACCAATAAAATAGCAAAAAGCTAGCAGCAAGCAGCAACCCCAACAATCAACAATCACGACAACCACAACAACAAAAACAATTTGTGTTGAACGCTGAGCGAGCGGGCTCTGCTCGTAGCGGGCGCATGTGTAGTTTCCGAAGATCCTGCTTGTACTTGTGAGAAAGCCCTCGTAGAGGCGCAAAACAAGATTGCCAGCAAAACTCCGCAGAGAAAGTTGTTGGCTGTGTTTGGGTGTTTCGTCTAGAAAAGTCGAAGAGAGGCAAGGAACCAGGCCTCGTCTCGAAGGCATCCATCAACACACCCAAGTACAGAAGACGGCTGCTCCTGCGCTGCTCCTGCCACTCCTGCTGCTACTGCTATTGTTGCTGCTGCTGCTGCTGCTACTGCTACTGCTACTGCTGCTACTGCTTACTACTGCTACTGCTACTACTGCTAGTGCTGCTGAGACTACTACTACTACTACTACTACTACTACTACTACTACTACTACTACTACTACTGCTGCTACTACTACTACCACTACCACTGCTAGTGCTACTGCTGCTTCTACTACTTTTACTACTACCACCACTACCACTGCC